TTTCAAACTTCCGGTTGGCCTTATGCCATATATGTATATCAATCAATATGTAAGATACCTTAGCAAAATTAACCAAACGCACTAATTATATTAAATTTAGCTTCTTCAGTTGAGTTTATATTCCATGTATCTCATTTGAAGATAAAACTAATTGAGACCAGAGTTTTAAAATCCTGAATATCAGTATATTGATCTAAGGCAAGTTTTTGCTCCGATTTAGGCTCAAAGGTACGCTGTCATTAGAAAAATTTTTTTATTAAGTTAATTTACATATTGACCGATAAATAGAGTATAAGGTCGCACGGAAGTTCGAAAATCTTAATATGGGGTATATGGAGGGATAAGGGAAGTATTGATCCTATTTAATCCCTTTTTGACACAAGGGTATGTTAATTATTATTAAGAAAACATTTTCACCGAATTTCAGGCATATATCTCACAGATTGACCTATATTTCAGTCATATGCTTTGGGGTCCACATTTCCGGTATCTGGGGGCTTGAATAGTAATGGTCCGATTTTATCAATTTTTAGATATGAAATGGCATACCTTATAGAGGTATTCGTGCAAATTTTTATTCCGATATACTAATTAGTGTTTGATTTGTAAAATGGAAAGCGAAAAATCAGATGGAATTTAAAGTTGTGTTATATGAGAAGTAGACGTAGAGACTGTTCGAATTCGCTCATTTTCACACGGTTACATGAGAATGTCAAAATAGTCCTAAGTACCAAATTTGGTTGAAATTGGTGTAGTAGGTTCGGAGATATGTGATTTCACCCAAATGTGAGCGGACGCATTACGTTATTGATCTCGGATCTCGTGTACCAAGTTATCGCTTGCACAAACGGACCAGCAAACAGTTACTCGGACTTCAACACGGCCTATGTTCACTTTTCCTTACACTTAAATCCCGTTATCACAAAAATGAAAATATGAATATACATGCTTGTTTTTGCATTTTAAACATAAAATTATAAGGAAGAAATATGTACATGTAGAAAATTTGAACTGAATTACCTATTAACATTGTGTTTTTACTTCACTTAAAAAATTGTGTCGGATGAACGCAGACTTTATTGGCTATGTATATATACATATGTTACGTAACCTTATATCTAATCGATAATTTTAAGTTAATACAAACAACCGGGGTTTAGTGTTTGAATTTAGTTTCTGGCCTATGAACACCGTAACAGCATTTTATGTCATTCGGACAATTTTGTGAACTTCTGTCAGGATAGCCGATATTATCTAGCCAAAAGCGCTCTGAATATTGATTTACAAATAGTTAATCGTAGCTGGTTAGTCTGCATATACCATTAACGTAGCAATCAAAACACATTACCCAGATTGTCATTCCTTGATATGTCATCAAAAGTTCTTCTAAATAAAGCAACCACGCGTGGACTAATAATGCCTTGGCAAGCTAGAGAGCCTGGAGAGTCTTATCTATATTTTTCGAACTCCAAATATGGTCATTTTACTCATTGTCGTTAAATAAAAAATGGGCTTTATTATTATGATGATTTGATGACGTGGCAGTGAACTTAAGTTGAACAGAATGTGAGGTTTTGAAATAAATTAATATGATTTCAGATGGTATTACTGTGTGAGCCATTACATGACAATTTGTTAAAATATCATGACATAAAGTCAAACAAATGAGCTTACTTTGTAGATATTTCTCCTTAAAATTATGTACAAAAACAAGAAAGGAAGGACTAAGTTCTGCTTACCAAGCATTTTTTACTCTCACAAGGATAATATACTTTCAGGAGTTGACAAAACTTTATAAGGATGTTGTATTATGTACTAAGGAATGTTGCAAAAGAATTTAATTCTACGAAATCATAAATTGAATACAATCAAATTTGATATTTTATTAAGTTATATTATAGATTAAAGACTTACTTAATTTTATTGCTTATTTTACTTCGCGTCAGCTAAAACTATATTAAAATCGTATTCAACTGAGATATACAAGTATGCGGTATAAACAAGGTGCGTTCCAAAGTAGACAGTAAAAAAGTAACAAAGTAAACTCTAGCAGCGCCATCTATATGTCGACTAGTGCGTTAGAATCTGCTATCGACTTCCAGTAAATTTCATGACATTTCATGTATTGGAAGTGAAGTTATTGCGTTTTAAGTGTCAGTATGTTTTTGTCATCGGTGCGGAAATGAGCTTCGAACAAAGAGCCAACATTAAATTTTGATTTAAAATTGGTAAAACTTTTACCAAACCTCATCAAATGATGAAACAAGTTTATGGCGATGGTGAGGACATAAATGAGAAATGAGCCGAAACACATAAAATCGCGCCTGGAGAAGTCAAAAGTGAAGACAATGCTGATTTGTTTTTATGATTCCAAGGGTATTGTCCACAAAGAATTTGTTCCACCCGGCCAAAACGTTAATGCGGTATTCTACCTTGGAGTTTTGATGCGTTTGGTGCACCGTATTCGACGTGTTCGACCCGAATATCGCGTTGACGTTTGTTGCACGATAATGCGCCGTCTCATCGATCGACGCTTGTGGCCGATTATTTGACCAAAAATCACATTTTAACAATCAACCACTCCCCATATTCACCTGAGATGGCACCGTGCGACTTCTACCTTCTCGGAAAAATGCATTTGCCGATGAAAGGAAAGCGTTATGCAGACGTGGAGGCCATTCAAAAGGCTTGCACCGGCATACTGGCGGCCATACCGGGCAACGAGCTAAAACACTCATTCGACATGCTTTTGGACCGTGCAAAAAGCTTTATTAAAGCAAAAGGAGACTATTTTGAATAAAGTTAATTGATTTTGCCGATAAAACCATTTGTTCTGTCCTTTTTTTTTAAAGTCCAGGTTACTTTGGAACGCACCTTGTATATTGAGTTGATGTGGAAAACGTCAACCAGAAGATGAGCATTCATTATAATAGTGATATGAGGTTTAGACTAACCTCATTCATATTAAGCAGTAAATCATTAATATAATTTTATAACTTTTAAGAAAACTTGTCCACTTAATTTGATTGAAACATCTCACATTTTGCCCAACTTAAATAGTTTAAAGTCATCTGGAAAGTCGAAAATTACTATACAGGGTATATGGGGACAGAGAAAGCTCTGGACTGATTGCATAAACTTTCTTCATTACTAAAGTACTATCAAGGATATATTCCTATGTAATTTTGTGAAGATAATTATCACACTGATGGACATATTGAGCTCAAATTCTGCTGAAATAACAAAAATCATTCAAGGTAATTTATGGGGCTGTGAAAATACGTGGCCGAATTTTACACCATTTTGTCATGAAACTATGGTGTATGAAGTTTTATATTTTCCCTTAACTTTCCTAGGATATTTTACATATTGACCGATATAGTTTCATTAATATAATATATATATTGACCAATATTTGAGGTGTATAGTCAACCGGATGGTCCGATTAGATGGGGGTAATAATATCAAATTTCCTACGGTGGTAACGAACATGGGTACCAAGTCTCATCAAGATATTTTAGGTTTTAGCCGAGTGCATGGACGAAAGGACGGACAGACAGACAGTCACCCGGATTTTAACTCGTTTTGGCATTACTTATATATATACCATGTAACCCTATATCTATCTCGATTAGTTTTAGGTGAGGCATACAACCGTTCTGTAAACAAAACTATTATACTTCGTCTCTCTCATGTTGCAAAGATAAATAAACGTCAATCTCTTGCTATAATTTTTGTAAAGAATAACGCAAATCAACTGTCGGGTGTTTTGAAATGTCTGAAAAAATTAATTGCGGAATATATTTTCTTAGCACAGTTAAGATTAACATCTAACCTAACAATCACATAACCTAGTTTTACCACATTAGTGGAAAACAAATAAAATTCGAAATGAGCTACAAATATTGTAAAATGAACAAACAACGCAATTTTATGTATGTTCGAGTATATAAGTTGTATGTAAATACATATGATATGTACTTCAGCAATAGAAAATATATTAAAACGAAGTATTGTTGAGCTAATGATTGGGCACCTGGGTACGAGTGTGGTCGAATCCAAAATGGCCAACCAGCAATATGAAACCCTGCATACCAAGAAATGCTTTCAAAAGTACGTAGTGGAGAGGTAAGAAATATTTCAAAGCTTATGACCACAAGCGAATGAGTGCAGCTGTAGTAAAAATAAAGTTGCTATCAAAAGTGATTGTTGTATGCTCATTTTAATAGCTGCAGCTGTGCACATATCAAGCCACAGTTAATACACCAAATTGGAAGTGAAAAGCTGACAGAATGGACGCGACTGGCAACATTGGCAAAATAAGAAAAACCAGTAACGAATTCATGAGAGCTTTACCATAACACTCAGTCGAATACAAATACCCATAAATGTATAAAAATATATAAAAAAGGTTTTGTAAGAATATTAGAAATGTACAATAATGGTTCGCAGGCAACTTACCGAAAATCAGCAGCTGCACTACATTATGGATTAAAAGCTATGGGATCAAAAGTATAAAAAAAGACTGAAAAACAACCTAGTTTTAGCTCTAAATAATTAAAATGTATATGTGTTAGTTAAATTTGATTCTTTCTTACTGAGGCAACCTTTAAAATTTGTCTTTGGTATGTTATCGAGGGCTCACGCTATTGGATAAAACTTTTTGATGTTGGTCGCATCTTTGATCCTTTCTGTTTTCTTATAAATTCACACACCACTCAAATTGAGGGTTAATTTTATCACCTAGAAAAGTAATGAAATTTCGAGAGTAAAAATTTATATCATTTCATTTCCAGGTACAAGGCAATAAAAAAGCAATAAAGCATAAATATTTACGAGCTAACCAAATTTGTACATGTGACAATGTTAAATACTCTAGGATTATTATTATTTTATTTGGTTGATTAGAGCTTGTAAATAAATACTACTACCTTATAATTTATGTCATATGCTAAAATTTTGGCACCATAAAACCATACTAAAGGCTTTGTATTCTTTAGTTGCAGGCGTTAAAAGTTCATAATCACAACAAGAGAAAATATAAAGCGTCTACAGACAAATTGATCGAAAATGGGCTGGTCGCCTCTGCTATGGTATCTGCTATTAGCATTGAGCACAACAGTTATTCTCAATGATGTTCAAGCCCAATCGAATTATGTACAGCAAGGAGATAGTGGGAACTATACAACAAATGGACTGCCTGAGGAAGCTACTTTGGATGGAAAGGTAGGTTGTCTTAGAAATCGAATGTCATTTTTATGAGCATGATTTCGATTTAATAAAATGCATTTTATAAATTTAAAATTAATTAAGGTAGTAGATATATAAGTACATTAAAAGCCAAGAAAAAACGTTTACTTCAGTTGCACCGAAGCTATAATATCCTTCACAAATACAACAGATTGTTTACAAGAATTTTGAGCGGTCAATTTGTGTGTCAGCTAAATGCTATAGTGACCTGAATAATTACTTCGGAGATTGCCCTGTCAAATGACTAGCTTCTTGAAAATAAAATTAACAAAGTAAAGGTGTAAATTCGGCTAATGTGTTACTAGAAGTGCATTTTGAATTGTTCACAGACGCATGCGAAACCTGGCTACGACCAGAAGTTTAATACTCTGAATTAACACCTTCAATCTAAATAAATATTGTTGTCTGCGATTAAATTGATCAAGCTCAACCCCTGTGGACATCGAGTTTTCCTAGTCGGACAAACTTCTTCTTATTGTACATTCAATTACTATTAGAAAGTATTTTTTTTTAAATGAATGACGATATATTTTCCATAAATAAGATCAAACTTTTTTATATTAGAGGATATTTGTAATATGAAAAAATATTGAAAATTTGTTTCCAGGAGCTATTTGAACCGTAAATCTGCCTGAGATTTCTATAATTTTAAATTTTGCTGGGGTCGAGATTCGGCATGTTCTGATGAATATTAGTCGTGTTTGCACACCACTGCGTTACTGTAGCTTTTTTCTTATTCCATGAAAAATTATATGCACAAACATAAGAGAATATACATTTTACACTGGTGCTTATGAATGTGAATATCCTATGACGCTATTGGCCTGAAATATAGAAAGCAACGGTGTAAAAGGTGTCGGAATTTTGTTGCTGCAGAGTATAATAGTTTTGTTCACCTAACAGTTGTTTGTATCACCTAAAAATTATCGAGATAGATATAAAGATATATATACATACGCATATACATGATTAGTGTGTCGAGAGACGAGTTGAATTCCGAGTGACTGTCTGTCTGTCAGTCAATTCGTCTGTGCAAGTGATAATTTAAGTAAAAATTGAGATACCTTGATCAAACTTGGCACATATGCCAAGGAGGGTTGGTATTTTAGATGGATGAAATTGGACCATTACCACGCCTACAAAACGTCATTAATCAAAAACTTATAAAAAGTCACAACTAAGCTCCTCCATACGGTACGAGGCTGTTATTTAATACAACGAATTACATTAAGGATGGGCATCATTGGTTGACATTTTTTTTAAATGGGCGTGGCCCGCACACTAATAACTTTATTGTACACATCTCCTAAGCCATTCAAGTTATAATAATTCGCTGACGTCAAATCGTTTTAGCTTCCCTACCCAATGTGTGGAAATTAATGAATTCGGATTATGGTAGTCCCAGTTCCTTTTGTGAACTTTTTATCGAAAATATCGGTCAATATATGTTATATTTATAGAACTCAGAGGAAATCCTTTTCTAATAATAGTATGCCCTTATGTCCATACACAACCTAATTGAAAGATTTTCGATTTCCGTCGGACTTTATACCGCAAATATGTGAGATATCTTAGTAAAATTGAGAGAACGAGTTTTTCTAATAACGGTGCATATTTGAGCCTGAAATGGATAAAATTCGATTAAAACTTGCCCTAGACCCTATATAATTAATATCAGGATTTTCAAATATCCGGTTGACTTTACTCCTTATAGAATATATTGTTATGTGAGGTACATTTATGAAATTCTGTTTCTGTTAATAATATCTAGTAATGCCAAAAATAGATAAAAACGTCTCAAACTCCCATATACCTTATAAAAGATTTTCAAACATCCATCTGAGCAATGTGAAAGGTTAATACTACAAATCCAGACTGTTCGCTGTCCCAATATATCCTGTAGAGTGATTTCCGACATTTAAACTTACTTTTAACCATTTAAGTTGGTCAAAATGTGTGATATTTTAAAAAGCTATGTTGGCAAGAATTCTTTAAAATTATAAAATTTTATTTATGATTTAGCGCTGAATATTGATAGAGTTGGGCTAGACCTGGGCCTAAACTTCATATTTAATATAATGAATTCCGATACTCTGGTTTACATTCCACATTAACTCAACATATTTAATTTTACTTCAAATCAAGATGATTTGAATGTATATTTAGCTGACACGTAGTAAAATATAGTAATAAAACTAAGTGAGGCTAAGACTTACAAGTAAAATATAATTAATAAATACCAAATTTGATTGCAATCCATTCACCATTTCGTTGAATAATGAATGTTGTATTCTATCGCAACATTTAATATATAGTTTTCACAACAGCTGAAGGTATTTATCCGGTTTTGATCCTTGCAAGTTGCAAGTGTATAAAATGTTCGGCTATACCCGAACATAGCCGTTCCTTACTTGTTCCTATTGTAATATCCGCTATAATTTTATATATATATAAATATGTTAAGTGATATTTCTAACTTATTGATTTTCTCAGGTCACCAAGTTAGATGATATTAGTCCATTGATATTTTTGAATCGCACGAAAGCAGCGCTTAATTGTGCCGCTGGTTCAATGCAAGTGAGTATTAACTCATATATTTTGTTTTTATTGAATATATGGCGAATTATTTGCAATACATTTTTTGTCACAGGTCGACATGAAGTTCAATGAACCTTTCCACGGCATCATTCAAGCAGATTATGATCGTAGCAGCGCTTGTCGCGTGAATGGCAAAGGTGCCCTGAGTTATAGACTGGAGCTACCCCTTAAAGGATGTGGTACTATACAGGTAATATTGTTTTAAGTATATAGAAAAATTATCGCTAACTCTTCCATACATTTTAGAATCCTACTCGCGTTTTTACAAACAACATAATTGTGCGTTTTCATGCCAATTTGGAAATGGACGGTGATGAGATCATTACAATTGTATGTCGTTATCCGCCGCCCATACCTTCACTGCCACCAGCCTTACCAGCACCTATGTAGGTTACTTACATTAAATCCCGAACTATTCGGTGCTTTAGATTTATTATCTCAAGTCAGCCTTTAGCTTTGTTTTTAACTAAAAACGTATCTTAATAGTAAACTAAACAAATAAGTAAATTTTTTTAATTTTGGTATGATTAAACAGCTTGAATCCCATCGCAACTGGTTCCGTTTTACAGCCGCCTCTTAAGGGTATACAGCTCCTTCTAATTATTTGCGCAATCATGTTCCTTACATTACTGTTACTTGGTTTGGCTGTTTCATACTACTGTCTGCGCAGTCGTCCAATACCGGTAGTACGGCGTCTTCCAATGTCAATGGGAAGTGGCTCAGAAATCACAAAATTAAGTGGTAGTAGCATGGGTAATATCAGCGCATTCGAAGGTGTCAAAATACCCCGAGCTATGGTTCCATTAGCGGCTGTACATAGTTCATCGGGTAGCGAAGGTGCGCTCATACCTTCGGACTATCCCAGCGAGTCACATTCCGAAATCGAAGAAATCGATACGAGGTAGAACTAAACTATTTATATTTTATGTCATATATTTATATGGACTTTCTAAAAACATATTATTTCCAGATCACTGCCATTTAGCTCAGCAGGTAGCTTTGAAAATCGTGCATTTGTCCAAGAAACTTCCAGCATTTATAGCGATCACTATGGACATACTCAAGAAGTTCAGGCCGCTAATGCGTTAGCTACTTCAGTTCCTCGTCATCCTATTGCCATTAAAGAATCTTCATCACCGAAATTCGATGTTCAAGTGCGCGTTAAGAAGTCGCCGCCACCTCCACCTTCACCCGTTACCTCAGACACTGAAAGTGTCGCAACACTTCGTCCAGATCGTAATAATCTATCGACTATTATAGAGACACATGAAGACCGTGAAAGTATTATGACTATTGATTCAATGCCACCGCCAGAGCAGACTGTACATACTCAGTTTACATATGTTCCTGAATTACATCCGATACCTAAAAATACAGCGGAATCATCACCTCCACCCCCACCAGAGCCTGTGTTCTCTGTTTATGCACGCACACATCATGAAATGGTCGACGGACGTCCTGAAACCTGGTCAGATTTTACTGATGCACCAACAGTTAGTGAGGTTACCGATTTGCATTCTGAAGCACCTGACATGCACTCGGTTGGCGAAATTGTCGATAGTTCGCATTTCTTCGAGGCAGAGTACCTTCCACCAGAGCCACCAATTGTTGTGAAAAAACCTCAAGTCACATCACATACTGTAGATGACGTATATTTGCGTACTATTACCGAAAAGAAGACAATTGAAGATATTGAGAGTCATAAACGACGTGTTACCGAATATAAGGCGAAGGCTAAACCATTGCCACCTCCCATTCCTGATCCAACTTGGGATGTTAAGATACGTAATTATCCAACTGAACGCGAACAGCAACGATGGGAGAACTTCTCGGATATCTCAAGTGCTTCTGGCATAACTCTCACGCCAAAGATGGAGCGCTCCGAACTAACTTTGCCAATAATACCTAAAGAACCGCCACAACAAATCTACGATAACAAAGAGAAGCTGACCAGTCCACAGTTGGTGGGCAATATGAAACCCATTGAAATGCCACCAGAAGATAAGGCTGTGCGCAACTGGGGTGTTCTAATACGTGTCTTGGAAGAACCTGAATTCTCCGAGGCAGATGATGCTAGTTCCGTGCATTCCAGTGTTCATCCACTCACACGCTACATCAGCTACGACGACAAGGCCAAATGGAAAGAGATTATAACTACAGAATCGTCATTGCGCACAATGCTGACAGAAGCCGTGGTTCGTGAAGATTTCGAACGAATTCGCCAAGATACTCGTTATGAACGTATATTTGAGCCCCAGACTTGGGATGTTATCATACGTATACTGGCGCCACCCGCTGATGATGATACGGATGTGGAAATGCGCGCACCAAAACGCTCCAAGAAAACCCAACCATGGGACACGCGCTCGAGACGCAGTTCCTTGCCAACATTGTACGAGTACGATAGCGACGGCGGTTCCTCTGTGCGAACCATACGCCAAGACCCAAGTATGCCATTACGTGACAATAGTTTTAATTTGCAACGTTCACGTCGCTCATCGCGTACTTCATATCACACCGATCAAAATGATTTCCGTTCTATGTCTGAAGTTACTGTCGACTTTGGAAGACCCGATCATTTAGACAACGTTTCAGATGCAAGTTCTTTTTACCCAATGCAGTACTACGATGATGAAGACAGACGTTCTTTTCACAGATCGGTTAGTCATCCATCACTAGCGCGTTCGGCAAGTGAATTTACCGAGCACTGGGCGGCACCAGATGAGCTTTCATCACCAGAAGCCACGCCTAAATCACGCCGTTCACAGCGTATGGTAAGTAGTTCTTTACATTAAAATCAAAGCAAAAGACAACAGTTCCATTTTACCCTATTATTTTTCGGCAATAATGGTGTAAATGTTTAGTTGAATATTTAACGAACGAGAGGAAAATCGAAAATATACAAAAAACTGCCATAAAGACCAACACAGCTCAGTAAACGATTTTATTTATTAGACTCAAAGGCAACATCGACTTTTTTCCAAACCAATTTTTTTGGAGTGAGCCGTAAGTAAAAAAGAAATTTCTCCGTTTTTCGAACCTGTTCTCCAACGTAACTTTTGTATGAACTTATATAATATAGTTAATAATTACCATTTCAATAACCAAATTTCGAAATTCGAAGGAAATTCGATTTTGCAGGCTAACTTCGAAAAACGGAGAAATTAATTTTTTGCCTATGATTCAATCTCTCGAAAAAAATTATTTGGTCCAATTCCCAGCGTGGTGTTGCACAGTGTAATATATTCAAGTATATCTGGAATATGTTATGATATTTTGAAAAGCCGTTAGATTAACGATTTCTAATTTGGTTGGTAAATATTTACATGGTGTATTTACTTACAAGTATATGTTTAAGTAGGTATATACATATGACAGTATGTCATTTAGAATTATGTAAGCCCATTCAAATAAATAATGTTTGCACTGCTACTTTTGTATCTGATATTTTTTTCGTTCTTTCAGACAACGTTCCAGCAGCATATACCGGCTCCACCGCCACCACCACGTTCTGGCCAAATTGTGGCGCAGACCCAAAGCCAATATGTAGAGTCACGCCGCAGCACAACATTCCACACAGAAAACGAAGCAGCACGATCACGTGACGACTGGTAAACGTGATGATATACATATAATATATCTGCGTATACATATATCTCGTACCTATAACCACGCATATGCTGCAGCGGTCGAGGGAGTCCAGTTCAAAATTTGTAGGCGACGATAAGATAACAAAAGGGTGGAAATATAATACAAAAGTCACTGCTTTCAGTAAAAGTCATTGCCACTCTATATCATGTGTATAATAAATAATTATAAGTTCGTATGTATGAATATAAGTATATGGGACGGTTCTCAACCTATATGCGATATACATAAACTAACAAGTATTGAGCTCTACACGGCTGCCAATTTATAAATATATGCAAATGGTGTAATAGGAATACATAACACAAGTGCCAATTTCAATAATCCTCCTGCAGTCACTGCATCTTAAATTTAAAAAACTACTTATATTAACGGCGCGTATGGTCGCATAGAATATGCATCAAGTACTCATAACTTTTTTTAAAACATTGTATAAATTAATTGAACCGACAATTGGATATTTAAATATATGAATTTATTCATTATTTATTATAGCAAAATGTCCTAAGTACGGTATTCACATAGGTAAACATTTTTATTAATAATAAAATCGAAACTGTATGTGTAACTGCAATTTTATGAAACTCATCATACGAAACAATGTATGAATCTGCGTTGAATAGTTTTAAAAACTTTCGTAAAGCAATGTCCAAACCAACGCCTGCAATCCCCAAAAATATCAACATTATTACATTTGAGTCCATAAAAATTCTATTGAGTGTGCAAATTAGCCTCATGTAAAACTTTGCACTCGCAACCAAATTGAAAAGTGCTAACCGCAAACAGTTTGTGAACGGACGGACACACAATATCTCAGTCAAGTGGGAAGGCCCTCATACAGTGCATAGCTACAAAGTTTAGAAACTCGTATGGGTTGAATCAACAGCTAGCCAATCAACTATTGTAAAAACAGGTAATACATTTTTAATTTTAGCCAAAATAAATATAAGAAGGGAAATTAATCAGCAGGCGATCCAGTGTATATCTAATACTTGAAATTAAAAATGGGTTCGTAAATATATGACGAATATGTACATGAAATGCTGTTTATGGGCGTATATGTAAATGTCTAATGTATACATGTAATATACAAACATACTTATGTATTTATATATTTACATAGATCGTTAAGTTTTGCATTGTATCTATAATTAAAGTTATCGGTCGCACCCACTATGCAGTAGTATTTCTACCCATATTGCTGCCAGTTTCTATTTCTCACATGTTTAGTTAGATAAAACATAAAGCCAAACACAAATGATACACATAGAAATAAGCACTATGGGAGAATAGTTGGCGTTTTTGCTGGTTTTTTAACCGCTTCATGGTGGGTTGAATTTGAAATCTAGTGTATAAAATTTTTACATATTACACATATTGCTCAGTGAAACTTTGATACAATTGGCAGCGCTACTTTTGAAGCTATAATACAAATTTACCACTCCATCTCCAAAACTTAAATTGTTGGATTTAATTTTTAATTAAGATTAATATAAATGACTTTAAGTTACTTATTTATTGCGAATCTACATTCAGAGTTTACAATAGGAAACTTGAAAATTAACGCGTAAATAGTTTTTAAAAAATGTTAAATTAAAAAATTATATTATTTATTTATTTTGAAATTTTTTCATATAAAAATTTAGATACAAAGGCCTTGAAAACTATTTTACATAACTTTTAGAATGATTTTCGATGCAACATCACCTATCTTGGAATATAAGCATCGACAGAGCCATATAAACCTATGTTATAATCATATAGGCTCTGCTGCATAAGACAAAATCGATACAAAAACATAAATAAATTGTATTAGATCCAGTTCCTTTTTAATTTTTGTTCAAGTTCCTTCTGAAGTCAGCTCCCCGTGCAGTGTGATTTAAAAAATGTTTTCTCCGGCATGCGATTAGCACGTGCTTTTCTGCAGCACAAACAAAAAAATTTTAGGTGATACCCTTTTTTTGATATGGCTAAAACGCTTCTAAAACCCCATACATCATAATTGCAGCGACCGTTCATTGACAATGCTTAAATGATTTACATAACTTACTTTGATGCCCGGCAACGTAGAGCAGTAATTGTTTTTGTTAAGGTATAATATAAGTTTTGGCTTTTATCTGGCGATAGTTGCCACCAGCAGATATAAGTGGGGATAGGAATGATTGAATAGTATGTCTTCATCAATCTAAAATTATCGTTCTTATAAAAATTACAACTAATCTGGAAAATGTATTATTTTACTACTTAAGTGAAAAATTGCAAGTAAATGAATAGTGAAAAATAATGTTTATCAGTAAATATGGAAAGAAATATACCACACAATAGTAACAAAATGAATTTATGTATCAAATTATAAATTATTGTCTGATTGTATAAATATTGCACTTACATATACGAGTTTAGTTTTTAGACGTATACGTATTGATTTTTCTTGCTCGTTCAAACTTTTTCATTTATTTCACGCACTATTCTTAAAAAGAATTTAAAATTGAAAATTTTTATTTTATTTTGTACTTTGAGAGAGTTTATATGTGTATTGTTCCTCATAATCAGTAGGACAATCCTTTATTATTGCTTTTATTGAACTAAGAATAAAATCAGTGTGTAAAAACTGGAAAAGTTTGAATACTCTATAATAAATCTAATTGCTTACTCAAATTATATTTAATATATTTTCTGCATCGTATGCGCAAGATGCGAATTAGCTCCGTAAGTGATAAGTTTATATGTATGGAGGTGGTGGGACTTTACTTTAATCGATTGGATAAGTAATTTTCACATATAAACACAAGTTATTTCAATTCCTATAGTTTCCAAAACTGTATATATTAAAGCTTCAAACCGTTAGAGAATTTTAAAATTCGATTATTTACATATAAATATCTAGTTTATTTGTAATCAGAATCGAAACGACCTAGCGCACAAACATATGCACAAACATCAAAAGTAATAAGTAAAAGGAATAAAGTAACGATAATTAACATGCTTAACTGCTTTACTAAAAATGCTTATCTAAACTGCGAATGATAAATAAATAACCAATTTATAATATCACTTTAATACTTGGATGTGCTTGAACCACAACAAAATAACATAAAGCCAAGGCTTACGATCAAAATAGTATATACTTGAATAATATACTGTGTGTATAAATATGTACATATATGACCATGTCTATATATAATATAAAATACTCAATTAAGCTTGGTTGATATCTTATGTTATGTATTTTTTCAAGTATTTTGAAGAAGAAAGTCGGTAAGAACTTCAAATGATCTAAAGTGTAAAATTAATATTGAGAAATAAAAATCGGAAATTATTACTAACTAAAAGGGTCTTATGAGTTGTTTTATTTATGCCTGGGAACTCGGTAATTTCGTGATACGATGTTTATCTTGAACACGTTGTGAATAATCTTATATAGATTGTTTACTTTAATGCACTTTCCAACATATAAGGTTGTCAAATATCTCCCGCTCTCCGCTTTTTTGCTCTTCATTCAATGCTTTATAAAAAGTGTTACAGTGATCGGATTTAGTTAAAATATGCGCCGTTTTGTTCGATGATCTGTTTCCATCTAGACGGCAACTTCATAATACCTTCCTCGTAGAAGCCCCCTCCTTATTTGCGAAGAATTCGGACAGCCACTTTTCACAAGCCTCTTTTGAGTTCAACTTCACACCACCAAGGGCATTCGCCATGGACAGGAACAGGTGGTAATCACTTGGCGCTACGTCCGGGCTATAAGGTGGATGCGATAAAACCTCCCATCCGAGCTCCCGTAGCTTCTGACGAGTCATCAACGAAGTGTGTGGTCTGGCGTTGTCCTGGTGGAACACTACACCCTTCCTGTTGGCCAATTCTGGACGCTTCTGGTCGATCGCCTGCTTCAAGCGGTCCAGTTGTTCGCAGTAGATGGTAGAATTAAGCGTCTGGCCATATGGGAGCAGCTCATAGTGGATGATTCCCTTCAAATCCCACCAAACACACAGCAAAACCTTCCTGGCCGTCAATCCCGGCTTGGCCACTGTTTGGGACGATTCACCGGCCTTCGACCACGACCGTTTTCGCTTGATATTGTCGTATGTGATCCATTTTTCGTCGCCAGTCACCATCCGCTTCAAGAATGGGACGAGTTCGTTCCGTTTCAGCAGCATATCGCAGGCGTTGATTCGGTCCAGAAGGTTTTTTTTGCGTCAAATTATGCGGCACCCAAACATCAAACTTTTTTTTGTATCCAGCCTTCTGCAGATGGTTCAAAATGGTTTGGTGACTAACTCCCATCTCCTGGGCGATGTCACGAGATGCCATATGCCGATCTAACTCGATGTATTCCATGATTTGATCGGTATTTGTCGTCACAGGTCTTCCGCCGGCTGGCTTATCCATGGTGTCGTTTTTACCGGCTCTGAATCGTCAAAACCATTCCTCTGCGGTTCGAAGTGATAGAGTACCATCCCCCAAAACACCATTAATCTCACGGAACATTTCTCTAGCGGATTTGCTCTTAACGAAGGAAAACTTTAAAATAGCGCGAATTTCGGCGTTAGTGAACTCCATGTTTACACGTCTATAACTGTTGAACGCAATATCCAAACTAATCATGCATAGCGTTGTTTTGTAGGTTATGTCAAGACCTTTCAAATTATGTATAGTGTTGCCAGATACGAGCTCTGTAGCGCTTTGTACATAGCCGCGAAATTCAAAAGACAAAAAAGCGGAAGGGAGATATTTGACAACCTTATATTTAAAAGAAATATTCACAACTCGTTCAAGATAGTAAAATATTAAACGTAAAGCCGTTATGTTTTGTAATATAGTATAATTACTATGAAACAGTGCATTATCAAATTTACTATAATGAAAATTTAATGAAATATTGCTAAATTGTAGAGCAAAAATATTTTTTTATACAAATTTTAAATGTCAGAGGAATTATGAATGTAAACATAAAATGCATACACCCCGACTTTACTACACTGAAAAATGCAATATTTAAGTATGGGGTGAAAATTACAGATGTCTTTTAAGTTGCACATTTGATACTACATAGCAGCAATACATAACGAAATGTGACAAATGTTACATCTTTTACTAGCCACCTAAAATCTTAATATTGCACCACACTTTTCTCTAAGTTTTGAGTTTATTTTGGAATTTTATTAGGTGTGTTGCTTGAGATATATCGCATTTCTTGAAAATATTAACTTAAATGAATCCCAAGGCCTTAAAATTAATGAGTCCAAAGACTGGACTATCTCTGTTGAATAATAATGTAATGGTTATAAAGCTAAAATTGTTCCACTGTTAAAATGGAGAGTATCATAAGGAACGCTACCTTAAAAATTGTAAGCCCTTTTACCCATTACTACCAAAAATTTCTAGACAAATCCTTTTTAACAGAAAAATTATCCTTAATAACTGTTTAAATAATTGCAGTTTTGCAACAATGGAGTAAACGCGCAAAATTCGCACTCGAATTCTATAGAAACTTGTGGAGGATTTAAAACGATAGTTGAAAAAGGTACTTACACATACAAGCATTAATGAGCCAGCGGAAACGTATTCAATATCGCTAAATTTTTTAAAATAAAACTCCATAATTTATGGTTAAGATACTAATAAGTCGGTTTATAGAGATATACGCTACTCCGGATTCAACTAAATAAAAAATATAAAATTTTAGTTATATTATATAATACATTTATAAGTATAATTAAGATCTTGTGACCGCATAAAAAACTATCTTCACATGCCGATTATAAGAATAAAGCTCAGGCAAACTTGTTACAGCTATCACAAAACATTTGTGAAAGATCTACAGTGATGAAAATGTGTTCGAAAGCATAACCACTGTTCTGGTTTGATATACTCCATCATCCTATTCGTTTCTTCCGGTATACTCATGCATTATTAGCATTTAAAGTCATCGACAGTCAATCGTGAAGGTGGCAGCAATGCCGATGCCACTGAGGGGGTCGTTGCTTTTGCCAAGGTAATTGACTTAGCATAGTGGTCTGGCTGGCTGCGATGCGGTAATATCAACATGTTTGCAACAGTTGTTTTCCTCCCCAAACAAAACACTAACACACATACAATCTATTACAGCTCCACTACTCAAGCGAATGGCCTCGTCGCAATGTCGTACAGCTTCCGTTCAAGGCTGACCAAAATCCAAAGTAACCTTGAGCAGTTACGGCTTGTCTAGCTTGCTTCAGATACTTTCTCTTTTTATGGTACTTCAAACCTCTCACACATACGCTCGTCGTCAACCGATGCTGCACTCGCCAGCCGAATGCTCTCAAAGTAATGCGTTAAAGCATATCCTTGCTGTCGAGCTTTTTCGAAATTAGTCGAAATGTACAATGTTACATTACTAATGTAGGTAACATGTGCATGATGTGGTCTGTGTGTATATCGAATATTAATTTTTTATCGTTCGCTTGTTAATGTGTTGTGCCCAAAAAAGCCTTTGGTACCTGCGTTTGCCAAAAATTATCGTTGCACAGTTGCGTTTGAATCTTTGCTCTTAGTGGTCATACGTTTTTTCAAGTTGTATAGCCGCGCATATCCGGTACGGGTTTCAAGTTCACAGAGTGTACGGTTGTAATCCATAGTGCAGTGTTTTTAACTTTGCTAATGATATTCAAACGTGTTTCGTATATTTTCACAAAAATTGTGACTTAAAAGGCTTCATTAGGACTAAGTGAACATATTGTAATAAATTTGCGTCATATGAATTTCGTGTTGGAATTGTGAAATACTATTTACAAAATACATTTGTCACCTAAGTAGGTGACAAAAAATACTTCTTTTACTAATATATAATACTAAGTACAAAGACAAACTGGATACCTACTACTTTTATGGTAAATATTGAAGCATTGAAATAAAAATAGAATATACCATATTAGCAACAGATACGTTGAATGTTTTTACTTATTGTTATTTTGGTGAATGATTTGAAGCGATGTTAAAATTTTTGTCAACAACTGAATACTACGAGTATAATGCAAGTAAAAACTTAATTTGAGTTGAATTTTAAGTAATAGCATTTTAGCTTTTCTAAAGCGAAATTTAGTTTCTTTTTTCACAGTTTTGCTACAAAAAATTTTGTATATAGTGCCCTCAAGATATTTCATCAAAAATTGTCTATAAATTGTGCCGAAAGTGGGCAGGTCAAAACTTCCCTTAGTCCTCATATACCTAACATAAATATTTTCGAAGCTCCTGTTAACTGTATATCGCATCGATCGGTCAATTTTATGAAATGTTAATTAAATTTAGAAAGAACCCTTTTTGAATAACATGTATCCTTTTTCCTTAAATGAATAAATCACGGCGATACTTTCCTTAGTTTGATGTAAAGTTTTCCAAAACCTGAAGATGTTCCTCCGCCTTTGTTCCTTGCAAGTTGTAAGAGTCTGAAGTGTTCGGTTACACCCGAACTTAACCCTTCCTTACTTGTTAATAAAATTTGCGAATCTCAGTAAGGATTTTATAGCTAAACTGAATGAAAAATGAGTTTTAAAGATTTCTTCCACTTTGCTTGTACAATTGGTGTACAGCCTCCAGTTCTAACTTTTTTAATATAGATGGATGGTTTTAAGTATTCTTTAAATAGACCTTGGTGTGTATCGTTATGTTGTTTAATTAACAATTGGAGGTTACTTGACGACATTTCATTGTAATTTGGTGAAAGTAATTGATCAATAAAGTTACAAGCAATATAAGGAATTTATAAACTAAATCATTTGAAAAAATGATATACAATTTTAGAAGGATTGTATTTACATACGCCAAGAAATGCGTCATACATGATGTCATTTGCGATATTATCCGTAACATGGAAGCTTGGCAAAGATTTAAAAATTTAAATATTTTTAATCCCAGTGTGTATTGAAATATGAAGTAAAACATCGCAATTATAGTCATTTTCAACCCGTAAAAAACTAGGAACCTCGTCAGAATCAGAACGAGTCTGTTGTTTATCTCTTCTGCATATTCTAACAAAAAAAAAAAAAAGATTGCGGAAAACGAAGTAACATATCCTAGTGCAGTATTGGGCCCTAGATATTGACCTAAAATTTGAGCTAACTTGACGAACACATGATAACTCAAGCCATCTGCAATTAATAATTTCTAGACCGTCAGTGAGACATTAATTCCATAATCAATCAATTAATCATTATCAGCGATGTTGCTGGTTTTAACAAATCCTACAACAAATATGTTTGCAAGTCTACTTATTTGAAAATGTGGCTTTTTTTCTGATGGCCAGATTTTGATCCAAATGATCATTTATTTCAAAATCGTCGAGGTACAGAAAATA